CCCACCCCAAAAAAAACTTTAGTATTTATCATACTTCAGATCTTTAATTACTGATTTTTAAGATTTTTTTTTTTGAATTTAACCGTGGTTCATTTTGAATAGAATGAAGTCGCAAGCTATGATAGTTCATACGATCCGATGTTTTGGCCAAATTACAAATAATTGATGGTTTGCATGACAGAATTGGACGATTTTTACCAAAAGGTGAGAGATTAGATCTTCATTAATCTTTTTAGTATTAATTATTCTTTATTTCTTATTTAAAATTGAGGAGTAGTTCTTGTTATCGTAATCTTTTATGATAGAGAAAAATATATCGATGGTAATCCTTAATTGAATAATTTTGAGAAATAATGGAATCTTTATTCCGATTTCCTACTAAGAAGCTAGATGGTCTTTAATACCTTGACGAAAAAGAAAAAAAAATCTAAGTTTTACAAGGTTTATCAACGATTCATACATACCATTCTTATTTTTGTATAAGATGTCTTCTTAGTGATCTATATCTACTCAGTAAATTTAAAATATTTACAGGTTTGGAGAACCTATTAGGGCTTTCATGAGCCATGAAGCAACTTCAGTGGAAGAGGCTTCTTCAAAGACAGAACTTAAACTATAGAGTTAGTATCGGTATAGTGCAGTACTTCTTATAACTGATAAGGCGTTATTGACTAACCACATAGGTTTCTTCTTCATTAATTTTCACATGTGCTTAGATACCAAGTCACAAAAGTTATAAGCACTAACTTGCTCCTCTGCTTTAGTCACTTTCTTAATATCAACAAGTAGACACGCTTAAGCAGCATTAGCCTCAGTTTCCATTTGAACATGAAGCTCACCATATTACCACCCATAATTTTCATTTAAATCACACATGGATCTTTTACAAGTTAGTTTTTGAAGCTTTCCATAATAAGTCTCCCACGCCATTAGATGTCATATATCAAATTCCACAGCATGACTTATGGTGCTTGATTTGTAATTTTTAGCTATCTATTTGGTTATTTTTGTTTTTATCACTTGTTCATTTATGTAGAGTAACTAATAAATCAAGTACCATATTCTTTCTGGGACATGTATCTCTTGAAATATATGCTCCTGAAGTCAAGCGTTCAGAAGAAGTCAAACATTCTTTCTGAACGTTTCTATGCTCGAGATCATCTTTAATGTACTGATTTTTTAATTCCAATGAAACCTGAAAGTTTTGCCAGACAGCATGAAAGTGGAACGCCTAAAAATTACTCTTCGCGTTACATTAGAAATTTGGTGTTACAGTATATAAAGTAACAAATTGTGCCCAAATATTTATCTGGTTATAGCTCATAAACCATTGGCTCTGGAATCTGGTTGTTTCTGTATTACTATTATTTTAACTTATGACTGGAATGCATGTTCATTCTAGGAACATCAATGTTGGTGTTATTATCTATTGATGCCGTGAAATAAGATTTCCAAGTAGCTAGATATTGAATCAGCATATGCTACCTTTTTCAGTTCTTTCTTATTGCGCTTTACCTAAAAATTGATATAATATACTTGGAATTTACTTTAAGTTTGTATTTCATTTAATTGTTTGTGTGAAGTATAAGTGATGGATTGATATACCATCTTAGCATACTTGGTAGGGACTAATTCACTTGACCATTTGGTTAGTTCATAATTGTTTGGTTTGTTCTACTTTTACTTCAGTACATGAAATGCACAAGGATTATATGTTTTATGTATATTTATATAAATGGAATATATAATGTCACGACCCAATTTCACCTATAGGTCGTGATGGCACCCAACACTACGGCTAGGCAAGCCAACTTAATAAATTAAGCATATACTGACAAAATTTAAAACCAAAAAAATAATAAAACCCAAATTCTACCAATGTGTGTGCCAAGACCTGGTGTCACAAATGTATGAGCATCTAGTAGATTATACAAAACCTCAAATACTGTCTAAAATAAAAATAGACAGAATGAAAAATAAATACAAGGAGAGACACTGGTAGTTGTAGAACGGCTCAGAAAGGTAGCTCACCACTATGCCCCTAGATAACGTGGGTGTAAGACGGTAGGTCCCCCACTAGTACTTGCCTCAGGTCCTGCACAAAAAGTGCAGCAAGTGTAGTATGAGTACGTAAACAATGTGTACCCAGTAAGTATCAAGCCTAATCTCGAAGTGGTAGAGACGAGATGACCGACTTTGACACTCACTACGGGTCAATAATAATAATTGAAATAAAACTAGAATATATAATTCAGCATGATTCACAGAATATAACACTAATTTAGTTAACCAACAGAAATAATTAAATTCCTTCAAATGCAAATATTCTCAGTATATTAACTAAATTCCTTCAATTCCAATAAATTTTCAGTTTATTAATTAATTTTATTTACAGGAATAACAATAATTCCTTAGCTAACAGGGAAAATAATCCTTAAATTCCAAAGATTTCTAAATTTATCAATTAGCTTCACAAGCTACAATAAATTATCAAAGTATCGTGTAATTATTATTATTAAGCACGATTTCTGCCGAGGTCGTTCGGCCCGATCCAGAATATTATGTACACTGTCGAAGGACGTACGGCACGATCCATAGATACATCTATCCTGTCGAGGCGTTCGGCCCGATCCACAAGAAAGGATGACATTTTCTTATATACCTCCGGAATTAGAGTATTTATTGTAAAATTTATTCGAGAGGATAACAATTTATTTCAATAATTAATTAATCTAAACAAAAATTAAGCATATGAAAATTTTATATTTTTCTACCTTTCATAACAATTCTCAATATATACATCAAATATTTTAATTAATAAAGAATACAATTTACACAAGAATACAATTTACACAAGTAATTCATGCTTTGAGTCCTAAACTATCCGGACTTTAGCATTAATAGTAGCTACGCGCGAACTTTAGCATTAATAGTAGCATTAATAGTAAGCCCAAGTGACTTTTTCAAATTAAAACAATATTTGTTGAATTAGTTCTTCATATAATACCCAAATTCTCAACCCTCAGGGGTTGACCTGGTAGCAATTGACTTGAGCCTTGGGGTTTGCTCCCTTTCAAGGTCTCAAGTTCGAAACTCACTGGGTGCAAATAATTTCTGAGGGCCATCGGACTGGGTAAAACCTGAATTAACCGTGGTGCACTTGCGGGAAACTCCTTGCCGAGGGCCTGTGCACCCCCGGGATTAGTCGGGGCTCAAAGAGACTTGGACACCCGGTGCAAATAAAAAAAAAATAATACCCAAATTCTCAAAAGTGAGTTTGGTAATTACTCAAAAGATTTAAAAAGGAACTCAAAAGTATTAAATTTAAAAGTAAAGACCTTTTTTATTGATTTAAACCCTAATTCGTGGTTTTCCTAATTTTTATCTTGTTCGCTAGTCTGCTAATATCTCCCAAAAGCAACGAATATTTAATTTTTTTTACAAATACAAAGAGAACTACATTTTTCTTCATAGCAGCAAATTTAAAGTTCAAATTGCAGGTTAATCATCCTTTTTGTTCCTCCATAAAGAAAATTTTATTCTTTTAGACTCAAATTACTTGTGCTTGTAAGTAACGTATAATAGATTATTTNTCCCACGCCTCGGTGCTTATGCCCCGCTGAGGCATATGTAAAACGCCATGCCTTACGCCCACGCCTTTTAAAATACTGAAATACTACATTTTCAATAAAAATCTCGAAATTAATTAAAATTCATCCGTGAGTTCCACATCTCAGAATCCGGCGAAAGTTATGAAATCTAACAACTCATTCAATTACGAGTTCAACCATACCAGTTTCACTCAAATCCGACTCTGAATCGATACCGAAATCTCAAAAATTCGTTTCTATGAGATTTCTAAAAAAAATTAAATTTCAATCTCAAAACACTAATTAAATGATGAAAACAGTGATATATTTGTGTATATAGACCAAATCCGAGTTGGAATCACTTATCCCAAATGTCTTTCCTTGAAAATCTGTCAAAAAGTCGCATCTGCTCAAGCTCAAGTTTGTCAAAAATGGCAAATGGGTCGAATGCCTCTGTTTTTATAACTTACAGATCTGTCCAGCCCGATCAGGGAGCTCGATCAGGGAGCTCGACCAGGGGAGCTCGATCTTGGGAGCTCGATTTTTAGGCCTCAATTTTGGGCCTCGATCACATCCCAGAATTTCTAGCAGAAGAGAAAAATTACAGCAGCTGTTTAAGTCCAATTTTTGATCCGTTAACCATCCGAAACTCATCCGAGGCCCTCGGGACCTCAACCAAATATA